TCTGCATGGTTTTGATATTATGAAATTATAACCTCTCATTGTCTGACTTTTTTGTTTGTTTTGAAAAACGAAGCGTGATGTAAATTGGATTGAAAAAATAATATTTCAATGAATCTTTTCAATAACAAAGTGAAAAAAAATTAGTCAGAACTTTGTTTTACCATAAGGAAACTTGTTCTAACCGAAACGACTTGTCTTTGTATGTATGTCAAAACGATTTTCATTTTCTACCTCTTTTAACTCTATTTTGTCTAAGTTACTTTTGAGAAGGACGAAGGGATGAACAATTTCACTCGAAGTCTTAGAGTTCACTCATTCTCTAGGTGGTTCGTATGCTTTAGGAGTTGACTTTATTAACGACCCAGAGTGGACAATTTTCACGGGGGCGTACTCTGTCGATTTAGAGGAGACAACACAAATTCAAAAATTTGAATCTTCTGCTTGGTCGAGTAGGAGGGGTAACCCAGACCACTTCCTAGAGAGTTTGATGCATGGCGACTAAGAAGGGATGTTGACTCTCCCCTAATCAAGAGCAGGAGGAGGTTGCCTTAACAACCCTACTGATGTTGGTCTTAGGTGCCACCACCGAAAGGGAGACCGTTGTCTTAAGAAACCCAGTCTGATGAAAATTGGTAGGTGGATGCACAAAGTCATCACTCTTGTAGATGAGGTTCGTGCCATAAGAAATGTGGACCCGGGGTAGATAAATTAGGTGACGACGTTATTTGGGAAAAGACAACGACTATGACAATGCTTCGAATGTTCTTATGATGAAGATGGGTACTTCATCATTTGTTGAACAAAAAGAACCATTACCCAAACTAACTAAAACTTAGGTGTCCTCAGTTAATATAGGAATGAAATTGACAACTTTGGCGATGCAACTCATCAAGTCAAAACTGAGATGAGTCAACTACCTTGTCAGTTTAATCGGGATTGTCCTATAAGTCCAACAATTTCGTTGGCTTAATTTATGTAGTACTGAACTGAATCCGACCGAGATATGATATTTGAATACTTACAGTCATCCTTTTAGCTCTCGCGTCAAATTGGATTCACGACTATTGGGTTTGTCATACAGATTATATTATACTACGCAAGGTTTCCTATCGGCTACGGTCGATTCGATCTGATAGAGTTATGTTCAAATATTACGATAATCATTTGCGGATTTCACGCTTGGTTGAAACCGTACTAGTCGACTGACGCCCGCCAGATCATGACCTACCTCTACGATTGCATGTAAAAGGGTCAGTAGTTGGTAAGGATACGTCCCTGAGAGTGGTGACAGACCTTTAGTGAAGGTAAGTTGTGCCTCGTGAAAACTTGCCCTGTCACAGGGGTCGGCGAGATGTAAGATTGACGCACCCGACTAAAGCGGAGAGGTGGCAACACAACCCCGTCCGTCTCAGTGGTTCGCGAGATTACTTACACGTTGTTTCAAAGTTGTCTCTTGGTTTCATCACTTATGTGTGACGTGGTCGGGAGGGCTCTCGCCTTTTGCGAAAAAGGCTGGAGTCGATGCATTCAACGCCGCATAACGGATGTCGTCCTCCTAAGAAACGCCGCGTATAGAGGCACGAACGAGGAAGTGTTGGCGACATCGTGACTGGTGGCGGTTAAACCACCAGTACACAACCCCAACCCTTCTGAAAATTGAACTTATCGCCACACAAAAAATTCCTTGAGGGTACACTCAGACCAGCACCGGAAGGACGACATAACTGGGATGTATATGACCGTTATTGTGTCCATCTTGAGCAAAATACGTTAGTGTGAGTTTTTTTTTTTCTTCCCCTTAGTCTTTTCTCGTCTTCACAGTTGTTGAGTGGCCCCGCAAGCCCAATAACTCTTTGAAACCACCTGTGTTTGACCCACAAATTTGCTCAGATACACGGGCTAACTTTATGGAGAGTATGGCTGCCATGGCACATGAGTGAAAACAACAGGCTCCTTTTTATTCCATCTGAAGGCAGCAGGTCCATCAGTTCAGTTCTATAGTGGCCGGTGCCGGTACCACCCTTAATTTTCCAAGCGGCGCTACCGGTCACTTTGAATCTCGACAAAATTCAAATTTAGGCTCGTACATTTAGCCTTGGGTGCACTGGTGGAATATATTTTTTCCCCCTACTGCTGCCAATAGGGCCCCATTGTTTTTTCTCACTGGGCCAGACTCGGAAATTACAGCCCTAAGGCTGCGGTGTAGTGGGCTCTTATGTTTGTGCTCGCAGCGCAAAGGCTAAAAAGGGACACATTTCTCTCTCTCTCTCTCTCTCTCTCTCTCTCTCTCTCTCTCTCTCTCTCTCTCTCTCTGTATCTTTCTCAAGGGAAAGAAAAACAAAGAAACATAGGCCCTTAGGGCTGCATTCCCCGCAACTCCCCCTCCACCTTCCCCCGTCTTTCTCAAGGGAAAAAAAACAAAGAAACATAGCCCCTTAGGGTTGTGTTCCCCGCACCTGCAGCTGCCCATTACCCGTGCAGTACCTCGTTCAGAAGCATCAGTCCATTGGGGGGCAGTATCACCTGCTCACCTTTCCCGCACCTTGGGCCTTGCTGCACTACAGTAGACTCTTGAAAATTTTCAGGAGTCCATCGAGAGCTGTCAGGACCTGGAATTGCCTGAAATTAATGTCATTGCCGCACTTACACTTGACTCTTACAACACTAAACGCCGGTGTGACCCTGGTTTATCTGCAGCGGTAGGATGCCTACTCTCGAAATTTCACTTCTCGCGAAGGGTCCTTGCGACCTCCCTTGAAGAAAATGGACTTGCAGGCAGATACACTTGAAACGTGAAGAGTTCACATGGGCCTGGATTTCTGACGACACTTAAAATATGTTTTCCAGAGTTCTGTTCGATAGTAAGGGCAGCGCCACACCACTCTCGAAATGTGCAAAATGAAAATGAACTTCCCAGTAGAACATGGCCAGATGCACCTGCCACATTTTTGTCCTTTCCACGTTTGGAGAGTGGTGTGGCGAGGCCCTAAGTGCGGCCATGAGGCACTCTTGCCGTTTTTTCGAGTGCGTCTGATAGATCTTGAAACATTTTTCACGCCACAGGGCCAAGAGTTTAAGGCGTGATTTCCCAATTAACTTCATACTTACCTGGCCGGGGCGTATCCGTGATCAGAAAGGTGGACGGCCTAAGGGCCTTGCCACACCAATGTCGAAACGGTGAAATTTTCGACAACTGTCAGACCACTTTCGACATTCACCGTTTCGACACAATGGCCGCCTTCGCCACACCGCAGTTTCGTTTCTAGACAAGGGAAGAAAAACAAAAAAAAAGAAGAAGAAGACACGGGATCTTGAGGCATAGATGTCGAAATCAACACATCCTTCAACACCTCGTCTCAGTGATGTCGAAACTGGACCCGCTGCAGGCGGGCCGTTCGACACCCATGTCGAAACCACCTTTCTGACCATTGTCGAAAAATTTTCGACATTTTTTCTTCGACAGTCTGTGTGGCGAAGAAAAAATGTCGAAAACTCGAGTTTCGACATTGGTGTGGCGAGGCCCTAAGTTGCAGGGTCTCCCATTGCACTTTGGGACTCGCCTGGCCTAAGTCATACCCACCGCGGTATTACTATGGCATTATTTTTGTTAGTACAGCAATGTAGAACTCTTGATTTTTCAAAAGATTCAAATGCAGTGCAGTGAGGCCCTTTACCCTTTACCCCTTCCCATTTCTCTTCCTCTCCCTTTCTTTCATCTCTCGTCCAGTTATGGGGCTGCTCTCGTTCTACCCCATGATCCCTCCACTCGAAGTTTTTATCGAATGGCTATAAATTGTTGCCTATGGAATTAACGGAAATGCCATTCGAGGCCATTCGCTATGGGCAACGGACATGTTCATGTCTTTTGCTTGAGGGAGGTGGAACCTGCCCCATGACGTACCTTCGATGACAGCTTTGGGTGCAACGCTAGGCCCTTATGTCCAGCTTCGAACTCAGGGCGTATACTCACACTTGCAGCCCCCTAACTAATACTCAACTCACACTTGCAGCCCCTTAACTAATACTCACACTTGCAGCCCCTTAACTAATACTCACACTTGCAGCCCCCTAACTAAATGTATCTGTCAGTATTTACCACCAGACGCGGACGAATCTGGCCGCAACTGCGTCCAGAAATAAGTAAAAGGTCCTCGTGTGAGTATGCCCTCAGTACTCAGCGCCACTGGAGCCGGACCGTGAAAGCAGTCAATCACTCTCCCGCCCCAAGTAAATTTACGGCTGTACTTTTTCCCCCCGCCAATTTTTCTTTTTCCTACCAGTGCCGCCGCGCCTGGTATACGACCGGGACGACGTCCCACGTGCGCAAATTAGGAGATTTCGGCCGTTGATCTTTGCTATCTACGGTCGGTATCTCTTAATTCGTGCAAGTGGGCCTGGTATACAACCTGGGCAAAGGTCCCACTTGCGCAAATTAGGAGATTTAGGCCGTTGATCTTTTCTATCTACGGTCATTATCTCTTAATTCGTGCAAGTGGGACCTACCGGTAGCCCCCGGCGGGGGCTGCGGCGTACTGGCCCATGAGCCCCGCCGTTGCCGACGCGCGCCCGAACGGCGACGGCCCTGAGGGTCAGATCCCACTACCCTGGATTATTCATTTTTCACCCTCGATTACGAAGATGAACGGTCCGAAATGAACAATAGGGCCTAATGGGATCTGGCCCTTGAGAGACCGCGATGGCTCGGCCACTCATCAGGTTCGGCCAACTGAGATAATAGTCAGCTGGATCCTCGCCGAAGGCGGTTTGGGCCGCTGCCGCTGTCCAGTTTTGGCGAAAAATAGGGCCGCGCCACACGGCTCTCGAAATGTGAAAAAGACGAAAATGTGGCGGGCGCATTTGGCCCTGTTGTACGGGGAAGTTCAAGCACATTTCGATTTCGAGAGTGGTGTGGCGATGCCCTTAGCTTCCAGGCGCCTGATCGGGTGGGGTGGGGAACTGGCGCTATGCGACAAAACCTCCGCGAAAGTCCTGTGGGCCATAGCTGTCCTTGGTGAATTTTATTTCAAAAAATTCTTTCTGTCAACCACCGCCCTTGGCTTCTCCTCATCGTTCTCGCGAAGTCACTCTGCTGCCAGTCACCCACCATAGCTGCTGTCCGCCATAGCTGCCGTTCCCCATAGCTGCTGCGCGCCATAGCTGCTGCTGGTTCTGGCACATGATTGCCAAGTCTGGTGACCGCCATAGCTGCCGCAGTCCTCGTATTACGAGGAAGAGTAGGAGGAGGAGGAGGAGAAGGAGGAGGAGGAGGTAGGAGGAGGTAGGAGGAGGTAGGAGGAGACGGGGAAAGAGAGAGTGCGCGGAGAGAACTGGGGAGGAGGAGGGGTGGAATGGTCGCTGATTGATTGCTCCGCTGTCACCTTCGCCGTCTGATTAGGGTGGGTGGTCTAACAGGTGCACGAACAGATTGGTATCGTTTGATATGATCCCTTTTGCGAACATTGAATGAGTGGTGAGCATTGAATGATTGGTTAAAATGGGTGCGACGAGGAAACTTCAGGGAGAAATCGACAGAGTGCTGAAGAAAGTTCAAGAAGGTGTCGAAGTTTTCGACAGCATATGGAAAAAGGTCGGCTTTCCGTCCCGCTCTTTCCATCCCCCCTCCCTCTCTCCCTCTCTCCCTCTCTCGCTCTCTCCCTCTCTCCCTCTCTCGCTCTCTTCCTCTCTCGCTCTCGCCCTCTCTCCCTCTCTCCCCGTCTTCCCCGTGTGCCTTTGTGTGTCCCTCTTCCCGCTCGTCTTCCCCATCTTCTCGAACGTTCGTTCCTACTCTTCTCTTATTGCCGTCTTTCGCAGTTCGATTTTTATTATTTTTTTATTCTTTTTTATTTGTATTTTTGTATTTTTTTATTTTTTGTCCCGCAGTTTGGGTGCGCGTTGTAGCTATTGATTGATAAGCTGCGGCGTAGCAGTTATGGGAGGTGGCTTCTGGGCTTTTCCTCTTCGCTGTTTCTCAGGCGCTGCGCTGTCTCTGCACCGCAACTCGTCCTGTCTCCTCTCCTGAGTCCTTTCTCTCGCTGTTCCTCGCCCCGCCTTCCTCCTCCTCACCCTCCCCTTCTCTCTCTCTCTCCTGTCTCTTATACACATCTAGATGTGTATAAGAGACAGCTCTCCCTCTCTCCCTCTCTCCCCCTCTCTCCCTCTCTCCCTCTCTCCCTCTCTCCCTCTCTGCCTCTCCCTCATTCCCACTTCCGCTCTCCCTCTCTGCCTCTCTCCCTCCCTCCTTCTCCCTCCCTCTCCCGCTCTCCATCTCCCTGTGTCCTTATCTCCCTCTGTCCTTATCTCCCTCTGTCCTTATCTCCCTCTCTCCTTCTCTCCTTATCTCCTTCTCTCCTTCGCTCCTTCTCTCGGTCTCTCCTTCTCTCCGTCTCTCCTTCTCTCCCTGTCTCCCTCTCGCCCTCTCTCGCTCTACTCCTCTCTCCCTCCCTCCTATCTCTCCCTCCCTCGCATCTCTCCCTGTCCCACTCTCTCCCTGTCTCCCATCTTTCCGTGTCTCCCATCGAAGTTTCAATCTGAGAGGGTCACAAAGAGAACGAGCGAGAGCGAGTTGAGAAGGGGAAGAGGGAGATGAAGAGGGAGGTGGGGACAGAGAACTGAAACGCAAGTGGGCTGCATTGCGTATACAACGAGCGACAGACGCAAGAGAAAAGAGCGAGAAAAAAGAGAAACAAAATGAGGAACGAGAGAGAAAGGGGAGAGAGAGAGGCGGGTAGAGGTGGAGGGGGGGAGAGGAGACTCTCCCTGTCTCCCTATCTCCCCTTCTCCCTGCCTCTCTCTCTCCCCTTTCTCTCTCGTTTCTCTTTGTTTCTCTTCGGTCTTCAACTTTCCCTCTCCCTGTCTCCCTCTCTCCCTCTCCCTCTCCCTCTCTCCCTCTCTCCCTCTCTCCCTCTCTCTCTCTCTCCCTCTCCCTCTATCCCCTCGCTCCCTCCCTCTCTCTCTCTCTCTCCCCGTTCTCGTTTCGTTCTTTGTTTCTCTTCGGTCTTCAACTCGCTGTCTTTTCTACTTTTGTCGCGCGTTTGTCTTGTGTGTGTCATTGTATGTGCAATGCAGCCCACTTGCCCTTCAGTTCTCTTTCCCCACGCTCCTCTTCATCTCTCTCTTCCATGTTTTTCATCTGGCTCTCGCTCGTTCTCTTTGTGACCCTCTCAGATTGAAACTTAGATGGGAGACAGGGAGAGAGGGAGAGCGAGGGACAGAGGGAGAGAGGGAGAGGAAAAGGAGAGAAGGAGAGGTAGAGAGGGAGAGGAAGAAGGAGAGAGGGTGAGAGGGAGAGATGGATGACCTTCACTACTACCTACAGGAACTACACAAGATGGATCCGACTCCCTTTTGTGTGTATTTCTTATTTTCTTCATTTGTGTAACATTACAAAATGTACATTTATATATTTTATTTGTATTCTTTCTTCGTTTCTGACATCGACGGGCGGACCGCTGTTAGCGTGAGCATTAGCCCCGCGCTTAGTGAATTCATCAGCGCCCGTGTTCTGCTTCGCCTGCCTTAGACGGTGTTGTGCGAGTGTTTCCTGTTCCCCCTGTATAAGACAGTCGCTTCTCTGCCTCGTGTGCCTCGTGTTATCTTCTGAATCGTTTGTTCAGCGCCTGTTGCCTTGCATGGATGACTAAGTTGGCAAGATTGAAACCTGTCTCTTATACACATCTAGATGTGTATAAGAGACAGTCCTTCAACACCTCGTCTCAGTGATGTCGAAACTGGACCCGCTGCAGGCGG